TCAACATTTTATTCACTGATTATTGTCAATGAACAAATGAGTTTTAGGCATCAGGTTTAAAATAATGGTGGTTTACATCGAAACTATAAAGCTTTTCAAAGTCTGGTTAATTCGTAATGATAAGTTGAATTATTGAGACTACAGGATTTCAGTTTGTAATTCACCGTTGATAAATCTTCATGATTATGAACTAAATTGTAGATTTGTTCAAAGAGAACGGCATAGATAGTAGTGTTAGTTCACGTGTTTATGCCATTGATCTTGGAATAAAAGTTAATCAAATGCAGATTAATTATTTAATCCTGTGAAATAAATAGCGTTGTTATTCAGATACTCCCAGTTACGTTTAGTATGGATGGACTTGAAAACTGTCTTATTGAGTACTAGTTCATCCTGTGCATTTACAATTTCTCTTCAGATTAAGTTTGATTTATCGTTACTCAAATATGAAAACAGGTTCGTTGATGCTCGTGTTCACACTGGTTACCATAAAATACTACATTCAGTCTCATTTTGATTCCGACCGTTGATTTTTGAACACTGACATTTTCAATTTTGTTGATTTTCCCACTAGTAAATAATTTAACTTTGCATTTCAGGTGACGTGGGCGATTGGTCCGCTTGTTTTAGCCATCATAATTCCAGTGAGTGAATAAAAGTAGTTTGAGTGAAATGAACTTACTGTCCATTCACCTTCCTTTGATAGAAGTCGATGATTTGAATAGGTGAAGATCAAACCATATCATTTCAGTGAACAATAAAGATAACAATGTCAATAGTCACTATGAAACTGTCATATTCTAAATGATCTATTATCCAGGCTGTTTAAGACAAAATACAGTGGTGTATTAGTCAGTAATATGATGTAATCAACTGAAAATAATCATGAATTGTAGCATAATCCTTAGATAAACTCATGAAATTAGAAACATACTATTTCAGTTTATGATTAGGCAACATACTGACTAAGTAATATTGGACTTCTTCTAGAGCTCTGTAAATGACGTGAATTGACATATACTAGAAAAGTGTACGAAGAGATATTCAGATAGTGTTTACATCCTCAATGTAACACTCATCAAATTATGTAAACATATTTCACTTCCATAGAAGTTAGTTCATTCGAATTCAAAATCATTTGAGATTAGATAACCCATTTCATCATCATAATAATAATAAGCTTTGAATGTTCTGACTTTGAATTTGTACAATGTGATTGTGATTTTAGGCTAGTTTAATTGAAGCTCAAATATTGTATGGAGGAAGAGAAATATACTACAGACGTGAAGATTTCATATTTGCATCACTGGTTCATTTGTTCTTACTTACTTTCTCATATTCTGGATTTATTTTAATGTTTTACAACATTAAGTTAAGTTAAATAGATATGCAGTTTGTATTTTCAAATTGATGTTTCCTTTATGTAATTGTGTATTTTTTATGATGCAGTAAAACAACGAAGTGGAATATGACAATTTCTGTGTTCGTTTTATTTCTTAACGGGATTAAGCGCAAGTGAATTTGAGAATATTTAGTTTTAAATGAACTGATCATTCTGAGTTTGTTTTATTGACTGGGAGAGGGAGTTTCTGTAAACTATCCAGTTTATAGTTTGTACTATACAATGATATTGAATAGGTAGTAATTGGGAATAAGGAAGTAATGTAGTAGTATGGTATTGATTATTTTATCAACTTGATTGAAGGAAATCGAAAATACTATGAATTACAAATGTCTTGGCTTTTACATGGACAAAATTCTACTTTATGGTGGTCCATCTGCTTTTTTGAATATGATGTAGAGAATTTGTGAATTGAAGTGTATGGTATCTTCTAGGAGAACGGCGACCTATTTGTAAACATATAAACAAGTATTGATGATAAGCAGAGATGGATAGTGGCTAGCAGTGGAATCCAGGACGCGCGTTTCGTCCTATTTGGGACTCGTCGGCTGGATGTACATGCATCTCAGAGTTGATGTTCACTCTGGGCCACACTCGGCCATCGAGTTCTGATAGCCATTTGCTTGTGCGATGGGGTGAAGTTCAAATTCATTTAGTATTGTTTGTTTGAATCTTCCCATCGATTTGTTAGGACTGCAACTGGTCAGTCTTTAGAAAGTATTATGGAATGAAAGGAGATAAAATGAAAACAGTGAAATCAGTTGGGTTTCACGAAACCTGTAAACACATGCACATGATTATCGCACGTTGCACTAAAGAAACATAATTTACTTAATAGTAGTAAGTAATATATTTAATCTACAATGTGGAATTGAACTAGAAAGAAATGAGGAGGAGGAGGAGGAGTTTGAGCAGAACTAACATTTGGATTATGTCAGTTATTTGTAATTGTGAAGGTTTTCTATTGACTACGTTTTCCTGACTTGCAGTTTCATGATTATAATAGAGCAATTTACTCATTGATTAAGCTAGGTATATCTAGATTTCAACCATTCGATTTCACAAACAAACCATATTTTACTAGTACAGTTTGACCTCATTTGACTTCAAGCATAATTCGTGCATATAGCAAAGCACATATGTATTCACTTTATAAACAAGATACAGTAGTGATATTTATCAAAATGAATCATCGATTTAAGAAGAAAACCATGAGAGAATTCCTCATCAATGTTGTCATATTTTCAATGCTGCAAATGTATGGCTTCAGAAATTTTCTCATCACAGGTTTACTTATCACTCATCAAGATTAGAACTTTACAAATTGTGATGGTTGAAATTAATCTGAAGTATAAATTAAGACATCACGCTAAGAAACATTAAGGAGAATGTAACCGACAATTGATCAGCTATGTTTCAATTTATGAAGACAGGTGCTCGTTCATACAATCAGAAAATCAATGTGAAGTTTATGAAATGAGGTTCTGATTTATGGACATCCTATAGTGATGCTAAACTGACCTTGTGAACGTGCACCTACTCAATAGTGCGAGATGCGTGTTCTAAACCAGTGTAAGGTATTACAATTATGATTTACAGTTGAAGGCTTGGGTTAGCAGCTAGATATAGGGTTTTCATAACGAACTGACATCAACTAAAATTCCAGAACTCTATCCAGTCAAATGGACGAATTAATGAATGGATTCCGCATCAAAATCCAACACCTCTTATCCTAACTAAGATTGATTCATTTATAAATTATATTCCCACTGTTTGTGTTAGCTTCAAATACTTCACTACCGCGAATAATCATTGATTTTGATGTGTGAAATAGCAAAGCTGATCATCTTTCTATCTACTAATGAAATTTTCAATTCTTGAACTACAGGTCAACTGGCATAAATAATGTATAGTGTCCTTATTGGCATGTTGATTGTTGATTACGTTCATACATAAGTTCATCGGACGATAGTTTTAGTAAAGAACAAAAGAAAACAAACAATGTCTTGAACATTTCAGTCATAAATGTTAAATCTCTACGAATTCCAGATCAATGAAAACAGTGGAGAATAAAGCTTGATAAATGAGTGATAAGTTCATCAATGCTGGTTTTGTCGTTTCACTGGGTAAGACGATGTGGTATTGTATAACTTAGTTTTACCATTCGTAAACACTCATTCGATCAATAATATGGCTATTTCCGATGAACCACTGTTCATTTATTCATTCTATTATACTTAATGATGCATAATTGTTTTAAAATCAATCAACATTATCCATTGGATTTGGCCAGACATCGTTTTGAATAATCAGAATGAATTATACATAGATATAAGATTCATGTGGAAACAGGTGTGTTGCAGCAAGAAATAACATTGAGAATTGATGTGATTCAGGAATCCTGTCCAATGTACTATTCTTAGTCATAATAATATAACGTGTATATATTTTGTTTCTATGATTGGAATGAGATAGTGTTATTTGAACGACCTCTTCCAGATAGAGATAAGCGAGGATTGTAGGCGATTATGTATAAATCACGCCATTATGTGTTTACATTATTGTTATGATGATGATGAGAGATTTGGGTTATTCGTTGTTGATAATAATGACTGAATTTTGACCAGTCTCGATTTGTATTCTGGCATAATAATTAAACCTGACATGTAGGTGGATCTCTCGGATGTGTCACCAATATGACGCAACTCCTATCTTAGTTTTCACTGACAGACAGTAAACAACTATATATGAAACGTCTTGCTACTCAAGGGATTTATTCCCTAATCTATTTCTAATTCAAATATGTTACTGTTTACGATACAGGTGATGAAGTGAACTTTGTTCATTAAATGAACAAGTGGAGAAATGTCTCATAAACTATGCAAACAAACACATTTTGGAGTCGCTTATATTTAGATTACGTATATATTGCAGTAGGTTACGTTGTGTAGTAATCAGTTGAATGGATTATCTTGAAACATCATACATCAGAGTAGTCGTATTCTTCACATATTTAACTGAATGAATATGCATCTTGATAACGATGAACAGAGGCCTTCAATATACGTCCACAGATTCATGAAAAATTTCATCATTTGATAGTTGCATTCGCATCAACGAAAACAAACTCGTCTGACACATGACATTCATTTAAACCTACTGATAAATAACACAATCCATATACATTCAGCAACTTAGAGATCATCCAGGACTGGTCTATTCAGTTAGCACTTCTACGTAGATTATTGTGTGCATTTGAAGTTGAACATGTGAAAGTGAGATGTATAACCTAATCACTCTCAGTATATCAACCGTAATCTATTCGATAATTAACATATAACCAATTTATATGGTGTGAAATGTTGATTGTATGTTCTCTCATATCAATAATGACTGTCTGATTTATGGAAACATATATGATTGTTGAGTAGATCAGATAATTTGGCACTAACTAATTTGTACTTTGATCTGATCAAAAGTCGTACTGTTCTTCACAGTTTATTGAAAGTTCACCAATCATTTTCATTCACATCAACATTATAAATCAATGTAGATTGACTTGATCAACTTTAACGAGAACTGTTTGTGAACACAACTGATGTTGCACAAATATCCAAATGAAGGTTTGTATTGACATTGATGTATATTTGATTAACATTGTTTGGATTAATGAAGTTGAACCAATTGAATGATGTAATCACATTTCCATAATTTCATTGGTATAATGAATGAGTTTAAGAGAGAAGAAAGAGCACTTGTATTTGGAAAGGTGAAACAACATTACTGATTCAAGGCATTTGAATATCACTATTGTTGTCAGTTCAATGTTGATTACGGAATAGAATTATTGAGACTAGTGTACATACAGAATAAACAATAATGGACTAAACTGTTTTATCCTGAAGCGATTTATGAATGGTAACTTTGAGGAATATTAATGGACCAATATGATATGTGTATTTTATATTGTATAATTGATAAGTAGCTTAACTATTGATATCAATGTTCCTTTTATGATGAGCTTTATTTTTACCCATCAGCTATTACTGTACGATTAACCATTCTTGAGTTATACTCAGACTACTAATTACTGTTCCCTCTATTCACAGCCACATTGGGTCAGTTTGTTTGATATATAAACCCAGTATGTTTAAGAATAATGATTGACATTGCAGAGACTGTTATTGATGTTCTGAACTGAACAGGCTGGGCTAGGCAGATAGTAGGACTGTTAAGTACTCAAGACTGCTCATACGGTTTATCGTGTATCATTGCTCTGATCGATCAAATCGCTGCTCCCTCATTGGTGGAGATCATCACGTCATATACTAAACTGGGAACTCACGCACACTCAATCGATATAACGCAAATCAAATTCAATTATTTCATTTGTACATTGCTGGAATATTTATCCAATGAATATATATTCATGATTAGATGAAAGTCTTGAAATGACTCATGTGTATTACATCATTAGTAAGTGTGTCACTAGACATTGATATATTGGAGAAACCGTATTTGATGAGTTTATGTAAATACTTCACAGACAAGATGGTATTAGACGGATTGTTTTGCACAAATAAGGTGTCACAATCATCTATAATCAGTTAGTAGTAATCTTATGTTTTATCTTCTGTTATCAGGATCACATACCTACAATGATCGAATCAAATGTAATGAACAAATAGTAATCTGTAAAGATTCCAAGTTATCCGGAATGATTGATCCAGTTCGCATTCGATTTATATTGAAAGTAGAAATCAGTTGCAAATATAAATTTTAGAATGTAGGTGTTTTCAACCAATATCCTTCAAATCTTCCTTTCAATATTCATGACTGCATTAGTGTATGCGATGTATGTTAATAACTAATAATTCAGATATTTGATAATCATGTTTCAGAGATAAAGTCCTTGGATTTCTTTATGATTATCAATGGGTTGCTCCTATCTTAAGGTAAGTATAGTGAATGTGAATTCATCATCATGTATTCGAAATGCATTGGGTAAGCTCAATAATTATAAATTCACCTGAAAGTTCGATCCACAAGATAGTGAAGAAACGTCAACAGATGCAGTCACATTGTAGTCAGTTTATACACCATTTGTTTCATCAGGACCCCAGTGCTTAAGTGCAACATTGGTTTTGAATGAGGAATTTTCAAATCCCCTTGATGGACCCATCATATTCACCAACACGCTCAAAGCGTTGAACACTCGTATTCGTCCTCTCAATTTCGTAGAAAACAGTAATGTCACGAGATGGCGATGAGTAGGACGTCCGTGGCAGTGATTGCATACGCGTGGACCTGTGAGAGCATTTTGAGAGAGAGAGAGCTGCCTCTCCCCACTCTCGACCGTACCATGATATTTGATAAGCTGGTTTGGGACATTTCATATACATATATGGACGCACATACGTTGTGCATCATTATGTTTAAATGGGTTGATTCAAATGATAAATTTACTACTATTCTTACGTGTATATAAAACATAATAAGAAAATATCGTGATTACCACAAATCCAGTATGAATGACATTGAAGACATTTCAGTTTCATTGATTGTTCATGTACATTCAGATGGGTATATGGAAAGAATATCAAACAAAATAATGTTTCACATAATAGTCTACCCTTTAATATATAATTGAATGACAGTGAATTATTGGGCTATTCAACTACGTGTACATTTTCGCACATATCACATTTTTTGATATTTTTTCAATGACATTCCCCAAATTAGATAATATAGTACTCATTTTGACACTTTGTAATTTACATTACAGTGTTATTTCGATTGGTGAAACCATTGCAATTTTCTCTATTCAGAGATTTCCACATTTGAAATATCTCACGGATTTCCTTTACGTACTATTCGTAAGTTGTATTTGACAGTAATGGATGAATATGTGTAAATCTATAGCGAATAACACTCTAAACTTGATTTTTAATACTGGATCCCAATGCGATGTCACATCATTCTGTTAGTCGTCCCATGAACTTGAATATTCTGTGGCTGTGAAAACGAGTAATTGAGGTTGTTAGATATTGACAAACATGTATTGTCTTTGATGACATTATCATCAAACATCGTATATGAAATGTGTACTGTCTGTTCACTGATTCACTCCCAACACGAAGACTGACGAGGTGGATAAGGGAATATTCTCTGTTCATATGAATATAGACTAGTGTTTTTAATTGAGAAAAGTGTGTTTAGAGACTGTCAATGAGTTGTTCACACGAGCAAAACATATGAATGTTTTATCACTCGTAAACGTTTCACTCAATCATGTTTTGTAATAGATAGAGTCGTAACTGATGGCAAATTGTGGTTACATGAGTGTTACATCCTTGATCTGTCTACCCACGTTCGTGCCGAGGATAACTTTTCTAATGTAGATTAAGACCTTGACGCTATAGAATGACTGGCTTACCTTGAGGCTAGGATGCATGAGTTCAAAGTGGGGGTAGACAGACGTAAACTATTCTATCCCTGTAGGTATCATTACCAAGTCTTGATTTGATAATTTTGAATAAATTGAGCATTGGGTAGATTGTTATTCTATCCCTGATTGGCTGACAAGCACTCACGAGAGAGAAGACAAAACAACTGGAACACTATTCGCTTTACTCGAAATCCCGATCTGGTATCGGAATTCCGATTAGTGTAAAAGGACACATGAATAAATAGATGACTAACCTGACCACAACGTACAATGATCAGGAAAATACAATTATGTCCAAAACTGGGGGATTAGAGTACGAAATAGAACACGTCTGAATTACAATAGCTTTAGAACAGAAAAGGCTATGCCAGAGAATCATAAATCAAACGAAAGTTTATGATCTGTGAAATAGACTAGGGACAAAAGTAAATGTTACTTTTAAACAAGCTTTGAATTAAATGAAATAACGTTCCCACAAATAGCTTCCGTAGTTTGTTAAGGCTTCTTGTTTCGCTGTTCATATCAATGAGAATGATATCGATTCAGAATTGTGATGATTTCTGGAGATATTTTGAATGATTTAGACAGAGATTAGAAAAGTGTGTCAACAAATATGTACAATACTGAAAAATGATTATGTGTATGTACTGTGATGTTAATTCAGTATAGATTTTGTGAACTTTTTCCAGTTATTTCCTGAATAGATGATTTATCTGCAGCCACTCAGTCCTTAAACTTTCGAAGAGTGTGCTACCATCTAATTAATTATTGCATAAAGAATGTCTTCCCATTTTATGGTACTTCATCAAAAATCGTCTATCAAATAAAACAGATTTTAATAGGTGGTTTCATTGGTATAAAAGTTATTTGTGCAATCCTCTTTTCAAATTGATTACCAGACATTCAGCTTCGCTGGTGTGATAACCTGTCTTTCAACAAACGTGCAAGAAATGTTTATATTTATCAGTTGGATTTTGGCCATCATTCTATCAGTGTTATTGTTTTTAGTTGGAATAAACATACAACGTGACTTGGTCAGTTATTTTAAGTGGTTTATCATCTATATCGGTTTCATCATTATCATCATCATTATTCTGTGGATCCTATGGAGTATTAAAGTTGTTACAGTGAGTTTTATTTAGTTGATATTTAAATATAATGTATGACGATTGTGGTTTTATGTCATATTCCAAACCAGTGTTATATATCTCAATATATGTCAATGAGCGGTGAATGCACACGGAATGTAAACACGTTCACTCTTATACATGATTCACTATATGATCATGAGCGTGGCTACGATAAATTCCATTACTGTTTCATCGTTGTTGAGATCCCATTTCACTTGGATTGATCAGTCACTGAAGTTGATTATTATTCATTTGTGTATGTTGCAGTGCCTAGTATTTGTTGTGTATCAGTTATGTTTAGATAATATTTGCATTGTATTATGTGATCAGTATAAATTTGAGAATCCGATTGCTGAATTGAATGTAGTAGTAGATAGAAGCATTTCTTTCAATATTGTTTATTGACAGATATATCTCTTAATGGAAAATAAGTTTCATAGTAATGGCGTAACAGAATATTATTGATAATTAGTCTACTAAATGAATTGTCTGAAAGATGGTCACAGTTGACATGGAAGTCAATGTTTCAACATTTTATTCACTGATTATTGTCAATGAACAAATGAGTTTCAGGCATCAGGTTTAAAATAATGGTGGTTTACATCAAGACTGTAATCTTATTTCAAGTCTACTAAATTGGTGTTGATGAGATGAATTATTGAGACTACAGGATTTCAGTTTGTAATTCAGCGTTGATAAATCTTCATGATTATGAACTAAATTGTAGATGTGTTCAAACAGAACAGCATAGGTAACAGTGTTATTCAACTGCAGATTCATTATTTAATCCTGTGAAATAAATAACGTTGTTATTCAGATACTCCCAGTTACGTTTAGTATGGATGGACTTGAAAACTGTCTTATTGAGTACTAGTTCATCCTGTGCATTTACAATTTCTCTTCAGATTAAGTTTGATTTATCGTTACTCAAATATGAAAACAGGTTCGTTGATGCTCGTGTTCACACTGGTTACCATAAAATACTACATTCAGTCTATTTTAATTACGACTATTGATTTTTGAACACTCACATTTTCAATTTTGTTGATTTTCCCACTAGTAAATAATTTAACTTTGCATTTCAGGTGACGTGGGCGATTGGTCCGCTTGTTTTAGCCATCATAATTCCAGTGAGTGAATAAAAGTAGTTTGAGTGAAATGAACTTACTGTCCATTCACCTTCCTTTGATAGAAGTCGATGATTTGAATAGGTGAAGATCAAACCATATCATTTCAGTGAACAATAAAGATAACAATGTCAATAGTCACTATGAAACTGTCATATTCTAAATGATCTATTATCCAGGCTGTTTAAGACAAAATACAGTGGTGTATTAGTCAGTAATATGATGTAATCAACTGAAAATAATCATGAATTGTAGCATAATCCTTAGGTAAACTCATGAAATTAGAAACATACTATTTCAGTTTATGTTTAGGTAACATACTTGATAACTAATATTGGACTTCTTCTAGAGCTCTGTAAATGACGTGAATTGACATATACTAGAAAAGTGTACGAAGAGATATTCAGATAGTGTTTACATCCTCAATGTAACACTCATCAAATTATGTAAACATATTTCACTTCCATAGAAGTTAGTTCATTCGAATTCAAAATCATTTGAGATTAGATAACCCATTTCATCATCATAATAATAATAAGCTTTGAATGTTCTGACTTTGAATTTGTACAATGTGATTGTGATTTTAGGCTAGTTTAATTGAAGCTCAAATATTGTATGGAGGAAGAGAAATATACTACAGACGTGAAGATTTCATATTTGCATCACTGGTTCATTTGTTCTTACTTACTTTCTCATATTCTGGATTTATTTTAACGTTTTACAACATTAAGTTAAGCTAAATAGATATGCAGTTTGTATTTTCAAATTGATGTTTCAAACAGTTCCAAAACTCTGTCAGAGACTGTGAACGGATAACTTTTAAACTGTTTCAAATTAATGTTTTGTTTTTATTCTTCATCAAAACTAAATTATATCTATATGTTATTCAGGATACAGATAGCGGCATTAATTTCGTGTTGACAGTACACTATTAGAACGAGCACAGAAAAACCAAAACGAATTTTCTAACAGTTCTTATAAAACATCGTTTGTAGATGGATGGTTTATTGAAATGTAAACAATAGTATTATAAAGCATAAAGACATCCTTCAATGTTTGATAAACTTACTAAATTCCTTTACGGGTATGTAAATTGAAAAATCGATGATGCGTGAATTCGTGCTGTTCATATTCTAAAGACCTAAACATATTTTTAAGAATCCTCACATTGTTCCTACTTAAGGTTAGCGTTCTCAAAACAAAGTGGCATTAACGATTATAAAAAAGCGCTATGTAGCCACGTAAACGAGTGAATTACACTTAGAAAGCAATGAGACGCTATCTGATTACTTTATAAAATACAGTCCCACCAGATTAAGGTCAATTTCTGGATCGGGGATTTTAAGCCTAGGATTTATAGGTAGTGTCGGTTTCCCGATTACATGCACTCTATAGAGACAGAAATGAGTGTTTGATTCATTTTACATCATTATTGCTACCATACGACACCAAAAAATATGTTTTTGCCATTATTTTCAAACATTTTGAGGATTGGAAATGATATGTCTGTTGCTCCTTTCACACGATACTCGAATTACGTTGAAAAACCTAAAAGTCGCTTTACCGATTCTGATAGGCTCGTCCCTTTATTATACTATTACCATTATTTTACAGAAAATTAGAAGGTACTCTTTGTTAGTATTCATTGTATGAAGAGCTTTGTGAAAAAGTACATAATACTTAATTTGCTTAGGATTGATAAGAAATGATTTTCTGTATGGTTGACAAATAGGTGTGGTAATGTTCATATCAGAAAAATTGACTCGTTGATACTTAAAATGTTAATATGATGATATGATACTTATTCAGAGTAAATCCAAAACAAGAACACTACAAATGCAGCACTATAAAAATAAATACAATTGGAGCAGTGAATCACCAACTTTCAAACTATGCGTAAGGAATTTTTCTGAGCACTAAAGATTCAAGATGATCCACTGGTTATAAAATACACTAATGAGTAACCAAAGCATACAGAACATAATAAACAACGAAATAAACAACCTGGAGGATATCTTCAAGAAGTCAGAGTACAAAGGACTTAGTGACCATGAATACATCTTACGATCATCTAGATTTTTCATAAGAAGTGAAAGGAAACTGATCAGTCTTGTACATGTGGCCGGAGGTCCTGAGCTCGAGTGGTTGTGGATGTGTGCTGCTTAGGAGTTCATGCTGGGATAAAACGGCTATCATGTGCTTCCAGGTTTTCACCCAGTGTCCAACATTAATCGGTTCATGATATCAGCGAAATTTAACAATCTGTACAACCTCATATTGTGAAAATAAGAAGTTAGAACATTGTTTATCCTTTATGACGAGAAACATAATTATTCTCAGGTGAATTAGGTTGAATGACCAATGTGGTTGAGGCAAGGGTTGTTAAAATGACATATATATATATATATATATATATATATATATATATATATAACGTATAAAACTGAATTTTCCCAATCGTTTATGACATGTAATTGCACTTTGTGAAGGAGCAATAATATATGAGTCCACTCACTATATGAGTTACTTATAGATGCTTAACTGTATGACAGTGTAAATATGTATTCGAATGGTAAGTCATTGGTCATTTGATTTTAAATACTACTCAGCTCAATCAATGCACATAGGACTGTAAATAACCTATATAACAAGTAGTATATTCATAAATAACTGATTTATTTTATGTAATAAATGAATCTTTAACAATAATCTTCGTATTCTTACTTGTGTCATCTGATTCATGGTTTCCTAGAATCACCAAGTACGAAGTTAGTCAAACATTCTAAGGATATAACATATGTAACAGAAGAGACTGAACAGTTTCAGTGCCTAACAGTAACGATGAGAAAATGCAATAAATATTTCAGCTGATATTAATGTTTTGATTCCTGATTCCGAGCAATCACAGCAATATCTAAACAATACTTGTGAAATGTTAAGTCAGCAACAGACCACATTCTATTCTAATGATAATCAGTATTAATGTTCATTTTATTTACATGCTGGTATTATTCGTTAAGCTACTGGAAATTTTGATTTCAATCCTGATTGTACATTTTTGAGGTATCGCAAGATAGAAAGAAACTACTGTTGTTTTTTAAATAACGTTACTTAATTCAGTCTAGAATGTGGTGAGAGTAAAACTTTTATTCAGAGAGATTGTCATCTTTCGTATTTTTGAATAACCAGTACAGCATAAATTTTTGAACCCAAGTATTTTAGTTTGAAATACTGAATTCTAAATAACTATACTCTGAACTACAGAAAACGCTGGGAATAGGTTCCCTCGCTACTTAAAAACTTTTCATTAAGGTCGATCTTCAAAGAGAAATGATGAGTTTTGTGAAATACATCTATAGTACTCTTACATACCCGTTTTATAATCCAAAAGAGATGATTGGTTGAGCTGAGAACGAGACATCTCCAAAATCCTCATTTTTGAACTACAAATTCCTTCTATCATCTAAAAGTATTTTGGATTGTATAGTTATTTTCAGCGTAGATTTCTATACATTATTATCAAAATACTTTCTTATGAAAATATAAATTATGAGCTAAACATTAAGTTAACTGAATTTTCTATGTTTCGAAATATGTGAATGTTATGAATGTTATGATTATTATTTGTCTTAAGATTGTACTGGGACAACACCAATCAAATGTCATAATGTTCAGCTATGTTGACTCCATACAGTTGACTAACAGTTACACTTTTAGTTATATCAGCAAATATCCTATATGTAACAACTATTCAACAAGCTCACAGGGATACACATAGTAATTGAAATTGATAAGAGGTGAATTCGTTTCTACGACAGCACTTGTAAATTAAACTAGGCGTAGATAAAGAACAACACCCATGTAGCACATTTCTCAACTGCCTTTTATAAATATTAAATAAAAAAACCGAAATCTTAAGAGACATAATATTCAGTTTCATGATTCATTATTTATTCATTTTAATACATAATAAAGAAATGTACTCTTCTCGAAACAGAAAAAAGCAACACACACACTGTAGTAAACAAGAACAGTAGTGAGGACAATCGAAAGTATTTTAGCATGAAGTCACAGAATATCTCAGTAAAATATGTTAACCATATGGTAAATATGTTATTTGCAAATTATCAATCAATTGACTCAATCTTGACCGTTCCGTCTGTAAATATCAGTCCATAGTCTCCAATGGATTTTCATACCGATTGCGCTTCATTCCCGTTCTTTCCTTATCGATCTTCTACTGAAATACATTCAATGCCCGACCACTACTACTGATGTGGATATAAATAACCCCACATCACAATATCATCATAATATTGGATTTCAATTATGCCACATTATATCCATATTCAATGAATTATTCAATATTTCTAACCAATTTTTACATATAGTTGATATCATGAGTCAGTTGAAGCTAGACCATCAGGGAAAACCTGGAAGCACTGGACGGTCAACTCGTCCTATTGTGGGACGCCTCAGAAGTGCGCATCCACGATCCCGCCTCAAGAGATTCGAACCCAAGACCTACCAGTATCACGCCAGAGCACTTAAACGATAGACCACTGAGCCCGCATCCAACGGTGTTAATATGTAACCTCAACCAATCCACGAGGTTGAGAAACCATTTCACCAATTGTCCTCAGTGAGTTGATATCTCCCAACAGACCTGGTTGAACTTCACTGGTTACTGCTTCTCACTAGAACTCCAAGAAATACCTCATTGAGCCAGTCATTAGTGAGCATATGATAAGAGGGTTGTTTGTGGGGATTTTTAGTAATGCGCATTGCTGCGGAGTCCCACAATAGGACCAAAATGGCCATACAGTGCTTCCAGGTTTTCCATGGTGGTCTAACTTGAAATGACTCATGATTGCAACTATACTTACTTACTTACTTACGCCTGTTACCCCTCGTCGAGGAGCATAGGCCGCTCACCAGCATTCTCCATCCAACTCTGTCCTGAGCTTTCCTTTCCAGTTGCTATTCATCCTTTTCATATCGGCTTCTATTTCCCGGCGTAGTGAGTTCTTTGGCCTTCCTCTTTTCCGCTTCCCTTCCGGATTCCAAGTTAGGGATTGAGTCGTGATGCACATTGGTGATTTCCTTAATGTATGTCCGATCCACTTCCAACGTCTTTTCCTAATTTCTTCTTCAGCTGGAAGCTGGTTTGTCCTCTCCCATAAAACGCTGTTGCTGATAGTATCCGCCCAATGAATGTTGAGTATTTTGCGTAAACAACTGTTTATAAATACTTGTACCTTCTTGATGATGGTCGTAGTAGTTCTCCACGTTTCAGCTCCATACAGTAGGACTGTCTTGACGTTCGTATTAAAGATTCTGACCTTGAAATTGGTTGAGAGTTGTTTTGAGTTCCATATGTTCTTCAGTTGTAGAAATGCTGCCCTTGCTTTGCCAATCCTTGCCTTTACATCTGCATCCGATCCTCCTTGTTTATCAACGATGCTCCCCAGGTACTTGAATGTTTCCACCTCTTCCAGAGTTTCGCCATCAAGTGTGATTGGGTTGGTGTTCTCCGTGTTGCATTTGAGAATCTTGCTTTTTCCTTTGTGAATGTGGAGGCCTATCGATGCAGAGGCTGCTGCTACATTTGCTGTCTTCATCTGCATTTTTTCGTGTGTATGAGAGAGGATGGTTAGGTCATCTGCGAAATCCAAATCATCTAATTGATTCTGAGAAATCCATTGTATTCCGTATTTCCCTTCAGATGTCGAATTCTTCA